AAAAAAAAAAAAAAAAAAAAAAAAAAAAAAACAACATTAATACAGCAGGAGGATTCTTTCAAGCGGCTATATGGAATTATGAGGATGAGAGATGACTCAAAAGCAGAAAGGGGAAGTTGACTTCTTCAAGAAGCGAAGCGATGAAAAAAAACAACTGATCAGAGTAAGACATCTGCTCAAGACAAAACACCCAGTAAAATACGAAAAAAGATGAAGGAACTGTTTGCAGATGTGCAACTAATACGTTACTATGATGCATTTCAAGTGGAGCCGTATTATTCAGGTCTATCCATTTTAATGTAATTTTAATTTTAGATGATGTGTGTTCATGTAAAAAGTAAGGGTTTTAAACTGATTTTCTCCTGTTTATATACCCTGCCTTCTCTAGGCCTCCTGGTCGTACTAGTGATCATTTTCCTTTCCTAAGTTTTACTAGTGGTCATTTTCCTTTCCAAGAGCATCACTCAGTGAGAGAACCTCATACATCTTACTTTTCTTTTCTGCGTCTTATTTTATTTATACTTCTCTTACTTCTCTTACGTTTAAATTGGTTTTCTCCTGTTTATATACCCTGCCTTCTGCAAGTTTCCTGGTCATACTAGTGGTCATTTTCCTTGCCTAAATTCTACTAGTGGTCATTTTCCTTTCCAGTAACATCACTCAGTGAGAGGACCTCACATATCTTACTTTTTTTTTCCAGGTCTTATTTTACTTTTCGTATACTTTTCTTACGTACATCTTACTTTTCCTCAACAGAACTTACTTTTCTGCGGCAAGGCAAATCGTCCCACAGGTATCGGCCATATCGTCCACCAATAGTGCGACCTAAAAACCACGTACATAGTAGCGAGGACCATCAAAATTCATTCAAAATTATTTCTTAACTACTCAAAAGTTTTACCGACGTATCAATTCTTGCAATTCTATTCTTTTATATTTTGCGCATGCCATATTCATAAAACTTCTCGTGTGCTTTCAAGTAAAACCTTTCAATAAAATGGCTATCTTTCTGAGTTTCTTTTAATTTCGCGTGGATCAAAGTCTGCCCCATAACACAAACCAAGGTGGTCCAAAGGGTAACACATGCAGACAACATTCAACTACTAGTTAATCGGCCGACTGCTTCCTCTTTCAGCAATCGTTTAGAAGTGATGGCAATTTTGACTGTTTGGCATGCGTCCGTGTATAACGTACTTTTTGTTCTAGGGCGGGAGGGAATCGAACCACTCCACTTTATGTCCAGACGCAATGTGTTGCCACTACACCACAGGTCCTTGTGCTCCATGTTCAGCTTAGCAGCATATTTACTGTGTATCTGCCTTCCAAGGCAAAATAGACCTCTCTTTTTCTTTGTGGCGGCTTCCTTGCCGACTTTTTGCGGTTTTTCCGCGACACTCCCGCCACAAAGATGCCGTGGCCCATCAATCCGCGAAGGACTCCACCATGAATATCCTTTTCAAGGCAAGTTGCACCTCACTTTTTTTTCTCTTCTTCTTTGTGGCGGCTTCTTGGTCGACTTTTCGCAGGTTTTTCGCAATACCGTCGATGCGAATGAACGAGCTGCAGTACTAACTGCCCAATTGCCAAAGCTAAATTTTCGACTTCTGGTATGCCAGTAGCGCTGACTGTTAGTCAGTACCCATGTTTTCTAGTATTATACCGTACAAAAGCACCAATTAATTATCAGTACTGTCCACACGCCCTATTAACCTCTCAAAATTATGAGCCGAGTTTCTTCTGAGAGCCGAGTTTTTTCCTCTTTTTTCAATCGTAGCACTTATAAACTGCATCCTGCTAACACCCATTCCTCGTCATCCCATAGTTCACTCTATCACTGCTAAATTCTTCAGTAATTACTAGAAAAAATAGAGAAATTCGATAATCTTTTTTAAATTGCACCAGGAAATAAAGAAACTTACTCGGTTCTGGACATTTCCCACAAGAGTCATCTTCTCCACTTCATTGGCCCTCTTTCGTTCCTTGTGTATCAATGCAAAATCAACGTTTAATCGATCCGCAATCGATGTTACACTGAAAAACAAACAACAGTCAAGTGGCAGATAAAAATAACAATATCAGAGCGGTAATTTAAACTGCTGTTGGCATTTGCTACTGGCCAAAATTCTTCCAAAAACCTTTTTCTCTCACAGAAATCGCGAATATGGAGAGGAGTTTTGACTTTTGACTACTTTATTTGGCATATTCGGATTTTATCTAAAATAAAACAGTCTGCTGCTAGGGGCCACGTGACTGATGTAGTGGGAAAAGCCAAAAATCACAGGTTCTACTCAACTAATCTACCTATATCGAAGCAAACTCTCTTCGAGTCTTTCTGTGGTTGGTTATTACTAGCATATTACAGAAATTTAGTATCATTTTCAGCTAACGGAGTCATCAAAAGCTCAATAACGTTGCCAGTAAGTGCTTCTCGCCTAATTCTTCCTCACCCCTGCCCCCTTCCCCCTCGGAAAAAATGAATAATGAGAAGAATTCTGGTCCCAACTTGAGAAAACACTCAATTTGTTCGTCAAATTCCACGATTCGTTAAAAAATAAAAGCAAAATATGCTACCGTTTTGCACCACCAGCATCCGGCGACACGATCACAGCTTGTTGCCAATTCGGTATCGATTCCTTGATATATTTCAG